GTAAGAATCTAGTTTAAAAAACTGTTTGTTCATTAAAAAAAAAATAAATAATGCTTGCACAGTGTGATGACTTTTCTTGTAAAAAACAAACTTGTTAGAGATAATTTTGAGATAAGCTACAAGCAAAATACAAATTAGGAAACTATAGATTGCACAACACAATTGAATTTGACAGCAGATATTTTGAACCCTATTAGGCTTGTTTTGAAAAGCTGCAAGCTCATTATTTTATTGTCCAAACTCAATCACAGTAACTTAAACAACTATAACAAAATATGGATCAATTATTCATAATAAATATTGACGATTTTGCAGAAAAGTTCAAGGTAAAATACAGAACTGGAAACACTCAACGATTTTCTTTACATCCATAAAGACAATGAAGGTGTATTTAAACCTATTTCTTATTGCAGGCCTTGTTACGACATTTCGCTGCATAACGGAAAAGCAAAACGTGAATAAATGTAACATTACTCAATAAAGATATTTACATTGTTAAAAGTTAAATTACGTCAGTTGCATTTTTACTTCATTGTAATTAAATTTAAAATGACATTAAAAACTATTGTTAGTCTTTGAAACGAAATAGCTTTAAATTGAACTTTTAATTGAAATGTTGTTATAAAAAAAATAAAAGTTTTAATGTTTATTAAAAAAAGTCTTCTTGTATTAAAATCTTATACTTATTTAAACTTAATTTTTTTGCTTTTAACATTCGTTTTATGGTTTTTTTTTTTTAATATATATATTTTTAAATAATTTAAATTTAACACTTGTTTATGGTTGATTTTCTTAGAGGGATTTAAATGTACTTACAACTAAACGCATAGATTGGATTTTCCCCTTTTAAAAAAAAAAACTTGCACTAACTGGTTTTGATAAAATAAATAATGTACGAATAATATTTACTGCTTTTTTATTTTTAATTTTATTTTTATGTACAGTGAAACCTAATGTATTTTTACTATTTTTTTACTCAATCCAAAAAGAAAATAATGCTTTCGGTTTTAAGATGTTATAAGCAGAATTTGTTTTTAACATATATCATTATAATTTTGAAATTTATGTATCTTATATTTATAGCTCTAGTTTTGTTTTTAAAATAAAATAAATATAAGTTGGGCTTTTAAAGAGTTTATTTACTGATCGCGTTATTTTTATTAGGTTTGAATTTTGGTTTGTTTTATAAAAAAAATTCTTCGGCAAACAGCAAAGGGAAAACCCAAACATAACATTTATAATTCGAGTTTAAAAGAACTTTTTTGTATGACGTCATTTATCTACTTGTAGTTATAAAATGAATAATGCACTTCTGTAAATAATGAATGAAACTGTAAAAAAATGGAAAAATAAAAACTGGAAAATAATGCACTTTTGTTAAGTGCATTATTCAGACCAGTATTTGCAACTTACCTAAAACTTAACTGAAGTTAAAATAAAGTTATATGCTATACGAACATTTTAAAGTAACTTGAATTAAATTTATTAAATCTTTTTTTACTTTAGAATTTTTATCATAAAGAAAACAGAGCATTTTAAAATTAAAAAATTTTAAAATGCTCTGTTTTAAAATCAAATGAAAGAATTTTAATTAAATTTAATAATTTTATTTACTAAAAACTATAATTAATAAAAAAATATTTAAATTTAATAAAATAAATTGAAAATATTTCTTTTTTTAAATTTGAATGTTTTTAAACCTATGAAATATAAAGCTTAATATTAAATGTGATAAAAAGTTTTAACTTAAAACACTTATTTTTTTTAAACTAATTTTTAACAACAACAACAATAAAAATAATTAAACAAATTTTTCAAAGCAACTTTTTTCTTTCTTTTTATAGGACAGGCGTTTAATAGATGATTTGTAAAACAAAAAATCTATTAGTTTACAATTGCGGTTAAATGCTTTTACTTACGACTTTATTTTCTTCTGAAAACATCACATAAACGATATCAAATGATAATTTAAATATTCTAAAAGATTAAAGTTTTTGCGTAACGCTTTACTAAAACGCATAGGCAAATCGCCTTTTCGCAGGTAAAATGCAAACTGCGTAACGATTCTTAACAAGGCCTGTTATTGTATTATATCAGATGACATTACAAACTATGTAATCTATGTGTGCAAAATATTTTAACTAATCCTACCCACATTACAAAATTTCCTAATCTGTCATAACTACATTTATTCACTGGTTGTGCAAGGTAATACAAAAAATGTAAAAGGTTTTATAATCTATGCCAAATAAAAAAAAAATTTGGCCTTAAAGCTTAATGGTTATGTTGCAGTAGTCTATGATGATAAGTGGTGGTTCAGCATCATAACTGAAATCAACCTAGAAGAACTTGATTTTGAAGTTGATGATCTCCACCCAAAAGTTCCATCAACATATTTTAACTGACCTCAAATCGTAAAAAAATCTTGTATAACTCAAATAGAAGACATATCATTTATTCTTACATATTAAAAAAACTATGTTCCAAAGCTTGCTCGAGTTCTGGTACTTAATGTTTGAAAAAACTGAAATGGAGGAAGTACAATCTAAATAGCAAAACTATAGTGAACTATTAAAGATACAGTCTAAATAATTTATCGCTTCAAAAGCTACTTTCGCATAAATTAACTTTTTGATTTATAGTTAATTTACTTTTATTGTATTCCCAAATATTTTTTTTATTAATGTCTTCAAAAAGTGATTTATCTTTGAAAATATAGTTCTATAAGTTACTGTTTTCAAAGTTTTCCATACAGATTTTTAGTGACATATAAGTAGCAAAAAAGAAATGTGGTGTTTTGAGATATTAAGCCTTGAAACTGGGTTATATAAGCTTGTTTTTTTATAACTTTTAACAATGTCCTTTTCTTTTTTCAGCATTTCAAGTATATTTATTGAATTCTGCATCAAAAACGTATCTTTATATTTTCATCTATTTGCCATTGTTATTTTTTATTTTATTAAGATAAACGTTTTTTAAAAACGTTATAAAACCAGGTCATTTTGAAAAATCAGGTCAATATAAAAATTGTTTTATCTTGATAATTGCTGAAAACTTATAACTGAAATTTTCCATTTTGCGTGATTTTTTATAAATAGCATTCATGTATCAAAACATGTAACAAAAAGGAAGATACATGGTTTAATGGACTAGGTGATTTGATGTCGAATTACCCAAAACAGTGAATAATAAATTTAATGTTGCAACAAATTTTATTTTATTAGAAATTTTTAAGTTTTTAGGCTGAAAAAGATTTTGTTTGGATAAAAACGGTAAATAAACTTTTCAAATAATAGCTTTTATGCTTTGGAAAATAATAGTATGTTTAAATTGGCGTTTTTACACAAACTGACAATGTATTTTTAGATATTTTTGACTTCTAAAGTATAACAAGTTGCTTATGTGTTGCAAATTTATTGCAGACAATAGTAATTAAACAGAAAACTTACCTGTAAAGACTTGTAAAAGAATATAAAAAAACTTGAGTCAACTTCATTTTGGCATTTTTTAGAGTAGCATATTTTTTCAAGATTAAGGTGAATATAACTATTCTTATTATGATAAAAGTTAATAAAAAACAGTCTTTTAAAAATAGAACTATCCTGATATAAGTGCTAGAAATAATAAAAAAATTATGCCTTTATAGTAATTTTTTTTAATTATGTAAACTGAGTATATTTTCATTTTAAAAAGGTTTTAATTTCTTAACCAATTGCAATTTAACATAAATAATGCAGATAACAAAAAGTCTATTTTTATGATTGGTAAACTTTGTTGTGTCCTTGCAGACCTTCGTAGGAAAGCATTGAAGCCGCATGTCTTTTTTGTCCAAGCATGAAACAATTTTTTTTTTAAATAATTTTAAAAATGCAGTAAATAAACGCAATTATTTTGAAATATAATTTTTATTGTTAAAGTAGCCTCTCTCGAAACAATAACATCATGACACTAAACTTGAGCAACAAAACTCAAAAAAGAAACACAAAAAAACCCTCAAGTGAGTTAAGATGATAACTCTTAATGAGTTTTTAAAAAACTAGTTCTGGTTTGATTGGGAGCTCGAGAGAAGACCACTTTGCAATGGATTGGATCGAATGGATTGAATTAAGTATTTCTTAAGATCTTAATCTTTCTTAATGACCTATCTCACATGTTGCTTAGGTCATTACAATTGTTTGTTAATAACAGTTGCTTAAATTCAAGTACTGAGTTTTGTATTTGTAATAAGTTTGTTTTATATCAAGATTAAGTTTTTGTATTAAGTATTGAGTTCAGGTATTTTAAAATTTTACATTGTTGTTTTCTAAATTGTTTTCTAAATATTAATACTTTAGAAAAATTTTCTAGTGCCACAACACTACTATAGTATTTATTTTAGTTACTTATGATTATTATTTAAAGTTAAACAGTTGCAACTGTGATACTGCTACTTCTAGAAATTATAACATTTATATAAATTTGAGACTTAGTGAATCCAATAAACAACTTTTTTTTTTAATTTATTGTGTTAGCACTTTTGAAGTCAAGGTGGTCACTATAAAAAAATCTTTAAAAAAAAAAAAAAAAAAACAGTAAAAATTTACACACTTTTTTTATTATATATTTTTAGAAATATTTTGTTGTTGTTGAAATAAGCCTTGAAACAATAGCATCATGACATTAAACTTGAGCAACAAGACCACTGTGCCTTGACAACAAGCATCTTCTGGCTTTGTTTGTCAAACAAATGATACTACCATTGACTAAGTTGACAAAATTGATGATTAGCAACAATGAGAAAAATAAGCTACGGAAGTAAGTAGACATAGAAATGCATATTTAGTAAAAAAATGATGAAATTTTAATGAAAAAGTTAAAATAATGAAAAGAAATTGTTTAGCATAAATAAAATGCCCTACTTTTTAAGCAAACAAAACTTATTGAAGCATTCAATTGTCACTAATCATTTTAAAATACTGTAAATGTTATGAAACTTTAAGTAAACCATTTAAAAAAATTACCTTTATTAGAAGAAATATCAGATTCTTTGTTTGGTGAACTTGAAATCTCTAAATAATATAAATTTCTTACTCCTTACTATCTAAAACTTTAAATAAAAATTGAAAAAACAAGTTGAAAAAACAACAACACTAAAAATGTAGAACTACAGAAAATGATAACAAAAAAATCTATAAGTGTTCAAGTCAATCATGGTTTAACTTTTGTAATGAAACCACATGGTTTAATTACAAATGTTTTTTCATAAACTTTTTGTCCTCCTAAAAAATTTTATAAAATTTGGAATATATTTCAGACCTTGTAACAAACCAAGAATGAAACTGAAAAAAAAATCTAGCGTTGCTAGATGTTTGGCTGAATATATAAAAATCATAATACTTTCGCCTTAGTAAAAGCCTGACATCTAAAAACCCTAGCCAAGTCTGTTTTAAAAAAGCTTTTTACTGCTCGTCATTCACTCATCTCAAGGCCAATATCTGGGTGTGTATAGATAACCCAACCCAACCCTTAACAAACAGAGTTTGCCAACCTGCTCTTGTAACTTGAAACATGACTCATCTGAGATTATTACCTGCAACTAATACAAAACTATGTTTTTTTTCAAGAGTCCTGTCAATCCTTACCTAAAAAAGGAAAACACCAATGTGTAATTCTTCCCAAAATTAACATTGATGTTGTCTATGTAGGAAAAACAACTTTTTGTGACACTTTGAGCACTAAATGTTGTTTCTAACAGTTTACTGAATTAAACAGAGTGTTCTTCTTTAAAGTTTACTAAATGTTTTACTAGCTATTGGTAAAATACTGATAAAATACTTTTAATTTTTTTTTTTTAAAAAGTATTTTTTTTACGGGTTTTCCTAATAACATTGCTTGAACTAACAGATATGGTTTTACTGATAAAAAAAGTATAAAAGTCGTTATTATAATTACTTAAAATAAAATGGACAACTTATTTGAACAACGCTTTCAAATTTTCTTTGTTAACAAGTCTTTTTTAACACTGTTAGGAAGTATCATTTTACAAGTGTAGCAAGTGACCTCTATTAAATGTGTCTGAGCACATCATTAGAATAAAATTTTGTAATATTTTTCGATTTGCTATATTTATGTTAAATAAAAACACATAACAACATTTGTGTCGTAGTGTGTTAATTTGGCGTAATAATACAAACAATTTATAAATTATTATAATAACAATTTTCATAACTATTTTTTTGTGGGTTATTTAACTAATTATGTAATTTTGGGAAGGGCATAAGAAGCAAATGCTTTATATGTTTACAATCAGCTGCAAAATAACAACTATTCTCCTAAGCAACCTTATTCAACACATATCAAGAAAACATGCTGAGCTTTTGAAAAATATTGAAAAAGAAAAACTATAAAAAAAGAAAGAAGAGGACAAGAAAAAGAAGAAATTTACAGGCAATCAAAGTAATTCGCAGCAGTCTATATTAAAGTGTTTTCCACCTCAGCAAGTTATAAGTCAGCAAGTTATAAGTCAGTCTATATTAAAGTGTTTTCCACCTCAGCAAGTTAATTTGAATAATAAGGACTTTCATTCCAGGTTAAGATTTATTAAAAGACTTACATTTAACTTTTTTTTTGTACTTTGCTACTTTCTTTAAGTTTGTAAAATGTTTTTGAAATTTCTTTGTCGCAATTAATCTTAAATAAAAAGAACATGTTTTATCAAAATTGTTTGTCTATTTGTTCAGTTATGTTTTTCTCAGGCATTTGATTGCAAACCCATACAAAAATTGATAATATGAGATAATATGAGAACTCAAATTCGTAATCTTGCCGTAAAGCATTGCAAAGAAATTAAAAGTGTGATATCAAAACTATTAATCCATTTAAAAGTCGATTGGACAACAAGTCATATGCATCATTATCTTGGTATTAATGCCCAATACTCAATAGGTGAAGAAGTTATTGTTGTCAACCTTAGCAACATTGATACAAACGGAAAACAAACAACAGACCACACTAAAAAGATTATTGAAAAGTGTTTAGATAATGCGGTAGTGGTGTAGTGGTAGAGCGCTCGCTTCATAAACGAGTGGTTCGGAGTTCGATCCTCACCACGTCCCTGGTAGTACCGCGCTCAACTTGTTTCTCCTCGCAGCGGCCTTGTTCATCAAGGTTGGTTTTTCGGAGTTATTGAGTTGAGAGAGGGTTATAGCCACAAATAAGTAGCCTCCTCGTCTGTAGTGGCCTTCTCGGCCTTGAGGAGGTGAATTAAAATAAAAAAAAAAAAAAAAAAAAAAGATTAGTTTGGAATCGATAAAGCTAACGTTTTAGGCATAAATAGGCATAAGTGTGGATAATGCAGCTGTGAGTTTATAATTAAAAAAAAATCTTTTTAAAACTTGAAATTGAAGAAATTATATCTTTTTTTATGTCAATTAAAAATATTATTTGATTTGAATATTCTCAAAATATTTTTGAAAACGTAACATATGTAACATAAAGTTGGTGTGTGACTTCATCAGCAACGTAATGGAGAATATCAATGAAAAGTCGATTTTCAATTTGCATTAGATGAGTTTGACGAGGATGGCCTCTCTACAGAAGACAATGCGGCAACAGTCTTGGGTGCCAAAGTTGCTATAAACATAATTCAAGTTAGTACGAACATAATTTACCTTCAAAGATGTGCTGTCCACACTCTACAGCTGGCACTCAATGATGCCTTAAAGTAGCCCACAATAAAGAATTTAATTACTAGTGAGAAGAGAAGTTGTAAAAGTTGCAAGAAATTCAAAGTGGGTTGACTACTTCAGAGATCAATCCCCAAACTTAATTCCTATTTTAGATCAGGCTACCCGTTGGTTGAGCCAGTTTAACATGATTTAAAGGGTCATCAAGGTTAGTTTATAAGTAACTATTTACACTATTTATTTTACTTAGTATATATAAATAGAGATTTTTTTTTGCTCTTTTTGTTTAAAATTTACAAATTAATTTAATGTTGATTCTGCATAATGATTCCAAAAACTCATTCCCTACTAATTTTTTGAAATGCCTGTGCAACAACCCTTCTTTAATATAGAAATATTCCCTTCTGCAATGTTTTTTTAATATAATTAAAAAATACAGAGACACAATTTCCATAAAATATTTTACTTTTTCAGATTTGACCAATAATCAAAAGCTGAACACACTAAAAAGAGCTTCTAAAGAGTTTAATGTTTACCCATATTATTGGGGCATTTGGAAAGAACAACAAGATGTATTAGAGATGGCTGGCAATCTCACTATTTGCCTTCAGTGAATCACTGCAGGTGAGTTTCTCTTTGACTGGAACTCAATAAGGTGTGAACTTGATGCCAAAGACCATGAGTTAGCAAAAAAGTTTCAGAAGAAAATGATGAATCAGGAAATTGCCCTAGGGTAAAAAACACTTTTTTTCACAGCGATTTACATAGATATTTGACATGGCTGCATGCTGATAAGTGAAGACAAAGTTTTTTTATTGTTATAAATTATTATAGTTATAATATTATCACCACTTTATTTATATAAGTATATATTATATAAATGTATTTTATATTTGGATAGAAATTCGATAGGAGGTCTTCGCAAATGGCGGTCGCGTTTTTTTAACTGTTAAAAATCTAAAGTGAAGATAAAGAATAAAGTTAAACTCAAATTAAAAGATAAATATTGTTTTTAAAAAAAGTCTCCTTTAAATCATAATCAAGTCAATAATCTTATAAATTAATTTAAAACAAACAATTAAATCAAAAAAAATTTACTAAAAGATAAACAGAATTTCGAACTAAAAAAAAAAAAAAAATAGAACTCTACCGAAAACAATAAAAAAAAAAAAAAAAAAAAAAAAAAAAACGAGAAAGAAAAAAGTTAACTAATAAAAAGAAACAAAAGAAGAAAAGAAGAAGGAAAAATAAAGAAAATTACAAACAAAGAATAAGATTGGTTGTTTTATACTTATTTTTTAACGATTTAATTTGTAAAAATATGTTATAGTTTTTTGTGTTTCTAATTTTATTATTATTAATTTTCTTGAATTATATTATTATATTATTATTTTTCTTGTATTACATTATTATTTTTCTTGTATTATATTATTATTTTTCGTTAATATAGTTAATAATTTTTTGTTCAATGTTTTTTTTTTAGTTGTTGTATCTTTAATTGTTATTTATTTATTATACATATATTATCTGCTATTATATTATTTATTATTAAATTAACTATTTAAAATGCTTAATACTATATATTTTTTATGATTACTGGTTAATTATTATATCCTTTATTTTTAAATTATACTATATTTATTTATTATTGATTTATGCCATACTTTATATATTATTACTTTGTTTTTAATTTATATTTTTACATGGCAATTAAGTACCACTGTAAGTTCTGCAATAAAGCAGTGGCTAACCATCAAAGAGGCATTTTATGTGATTGTTATTCTTCTTGGGTTCATGCTAAGTGCAATTCAATCAAAAAATTTTTGTATAACCTTCTTGTCAAAGACTCTTCTGACTGGTATTGTAGTGACTGCATAATTAAGAATATGCCATTTAGCACACTTTAAGACTAAGAATTTTTTTTTAACTATATCATGTCAGACTCTACCAACTAGTACCTTAAATTCTTTAGAAAGTCTATTACAATTCAATAACATTTTTAAGGATATATATAAAATCTCTAATACTTATTTCAACTGCAAATACTACGATATTCTTGATCTCAATAAAACTTTAAAATCAAATTCTGATATGTATCTTCATCTAAACATTGGTTCTTTGCACTTTCATATTGATGGACTTCAGTCTCATAAGTTCACTTACCATTCTTCCAACAGTATTAGGAATTTTGTAATCTAAATTGTATATTAACGATCCCAATATAACTGACATTAGTATAAATGGTTATAACATCGAACAATGCTCTACTGAAGCTAAAAAAGGAGGTGCTCTTTTATACTTACAATCCGATCTAAACTACTATGTCAAAAGAGATCTTATAGTATATGCCCCAAAATTTCTAGAATCTATTTTTATTAAATTCGTTAATCCTTTTAAGAAAAATATCATTGTTGGCTGCATATACCGGCATCCTTCAATGAACCCAAAGGAATTTATTTCTGATTATTTTAATCCTTTACTTAAAAAACTTAGTTCTGAAAATGAACAGGTTATATTAATGGGTGACTTTAACATGTACTTACGAAATTACAATCAATCCCTTATTATCTCTGATTACCTTGACTCACTTTGTTTTAACTCTTTTTACCCAACAATAATTCAACCAACGCGAGTAACCTGTAAATCTAAAACAATTATTGATAACATCTTTTTAAATTTTCAAATTCCTAATCTTATTTCTGGTAATGTAACAATATCAACATTAACTGTTTGTTTGCATTCCTAGTACTCCTTTCAAAAGTACTCCATAACAACTAAATGATCATTTAAGAATTTCAATGATAATGAATATATATATATATCAGGATATTTCTAATATTGACTGGAAGTTTTATATCAAAAATGGTGATGATGTCAATGAATCAATGAACTTCTTGTTAAAAACATTCAACATAATTCTTGATCGTCATGCCCCATACAAAAAACTGACCATAAACCAAGTTAATCTCAAATCTAAACCTTGGATTACTAATGGAGTTCTGAAGTCAATTACAATTAAAAATAAGCTCTACAAAAAGTATATAACATCTAAAAATTCCAACACAAAAAGTCAACTATTCAATAAATTTAAATAGTACAGGAATAAAATTAGCAATTTATTAAGAATTTCCAAAAAGTCATACTTCATCTCCTTCTTTAACAAAAACTTCAACAATACAAAAAATACATAGTAAGGAATAAAAAAAATTATTAACATCAAACCCTCTACGCCAATTAAATCTTATACTCTTAAGTCTAACGGTAACACTATCTCTGACAGTATGGCTGTTGCTAACATTTTTAACAAATACTATGAAGCAATACAACACCCACCCAAAAGTAAAATGATTTCTTCTAAAAGTATCTTCTCTGATTATTTATAAAATGCTTATTCAAATTCTTTCTTTCTTAATCCAGTGACTGAAAATGAGGTGTCTAATTTAATAAAAAATAGTTTACAAAATGGTAAAAGTTTTGGACCAAATAGTATTCCCACACACCTTCTTAAACTTACTTCTTATGTTATTTGCAAGCCTCTCTGTACTATAATAAATAATTCTTTTAATAAAGGTCTTTTTCCAGATGTTTTTAAGATAGCCAAAGTTATTCCTATCCATAAAAAGGGTTCTCTAATGGACCACAGAAACTATTGACCAATTTCTCTTCTATCTAACATTAGTAAAATATTTAAAAAAGCCATGTACAACAGACTTTAAAGCTTTCTTGACAAAAACCAACGTCTTTACAAACATCAGTATGGATTTTGTAACAAACACTCCACAACTCATGCACTTATTAAAATAACTGAAACTATTAGAAATGCTCTTGACAATAAGCTTTTTGCATGTGGAGTGTTTCTTGACTGAGAAAGCCTTTGATTCTGTTGATCACTTTATCCTCTTAAGTAAATTGGAACACTACGGTGTTCAAGGTAACACTCTCCAATGGTTTTCATCATATCTTTTTAATAGATCGCAATTTGTCTCCATCAATGATGCCAAATCTTTTCCAATAAAATGCTCCATGGGTGCACCCCAAGGTTCTGTATTAGGACCATTGCTTTTCCTTATTTTTGATCTTGATCTTAATATCTCTCTAAAATAATCTTAATATCTCTTAATATCTATCTTAATATCTTAATATCTAATCTCTCCCTAAAATGATCCTAATATCTCTTTAATTGATCTTAATATCTCTCTAAAATTTTCAACGGCATACCATTTTGCTGATGACACCAACTTACTCATAACTAACAAATCATTAAAAAAAATTAACAAACATATTAATCATGATTTATCTAACCTTCTTCAATGGCTGCATTCTAACAAACTAAGTCTTAATACCAACAAAACTGAACTCATTATTTTCAAATCTAATCAATCTAAAATGTATAAAAACCTAAACTTTAGACTAAGTGGACAAAAAATCTTTCCCTTACTTTCACTAAAATATCTTGGAATCCAAATTGACTCAGATCTATCCTTTTCCTCTCATCCTAAAAACTTAGCAGTAAAATTGTGTAAATCAAATGGGATGCTAGCCATAATTCGCCACTATGTCAATTATAAAACACTACTTAATATATAACATGCAATTTTCGGATCTCAACTTAGATACGCTTGTCAGGTTTGGGGACAATGCAAGTCTAATGCTTTTTTAAGGTTATGTAACCTACAAAACAAAGTTTAAAAAAAAAAAACATTTTTTTTCAACAGCCTCATTCTAACTTTGACATCCTTTACTTTCTATCATAAATACTCAAATTATGTGATCTTGTTTATCTATTAAATTGTCTATTTGTCTGGATTCATAAATAAGTAAACCTCCCTCCATCATTCTCCAATTTTTTACCACTTTTTTTTACCAAAGAATATTGTGGTTGTAAATATTTTTTATTTCCTGTAACCCTCAATGTTACTCTTTTTCATTTCTTAAAGTAACTGGAAAAGTGAGCATAACATTACTGTGATTAGAAAGATTTGATTAAATCAAAACTCAAAACTTTTATATATATAAAAAAATAAGTAACAGAGAGAACACATTTTTAAAAAAATATTTGGATTTATAAATTTATTTCTTTTAACCAATTCTTATAAAATTTTCTTTAAAATCATACTAATATAACCATAATAAAATTAATAAAACCAACAAAAAGAAATAAAAGCTTACATCCCTGCATGGATACAGGAGGTTAAGTAAAAAGTGCATTTATGCATACATAATATATTTATTTATATACACATATATATAATATATTTATATATAATATATGCACACATATAACAATAATAATAATAATGACAATAATATTAATAATAATAGCAATAATAATAATAATATATGTGTATATATATATATATATATATATATACACATATATTATACCCCTAATATATATATATTTATATATATATATTAGGGGTAGTCATTTTGAGAGAGTTTTTGAAAACGAAGTACATACATCCAGCTAAAGTACATCCAGCTAAAGTTGGAGCAAATATGCTAAAACTTTGTCAAAATTTTTTTTTAGGTCAATCGGGTGACTTTTAAGTCCCCCTCAAGACTTAAGTTGTTAAGAAATTGTACTTCAAAAAAGGAAAAATAGGGTGTGTTCAGGGTGTTTGAGGGGGATTTAAATGAAAAAATTGTTTCTATTTTTTTTATTTTTGTTATTTGATATCTATATTTTCATTTTAAAAGGGTATGTCATCATGTTTTTTTCATATTTTTGGTTAAAACGATATTTAAGATATCAAAAAATGAAATGTTTAACTTACGCAACTGGTTATGAAATCAGCAAATTATGTATTTTCATACTTAAAGTTCATTCAGATGGACAGACGTAAAAACTCCCGCTTAAATCAACCAAAAAAACAAACTATTTTGAACTAAACAAGTAATTTACCATTTAATAAAAATCTTTACAAATACCATCAAGACAAAAATTATGCATTAATTGAAATAAGTACTTTCAAATGAATAACAATTTCCTAAGTCTACAATTTCCTTTTCTTTAGTTTAGAGAGTGACATCAGGCTTTCTGATAGTTCTTTTTTTCGTAATAATATTTTTTCCCACACCAAAAACCTTGAAAGTTAACCTTACTTTGTCGACAGTTAAAAGACTGTTTTGCTTGTCATCCGCATATTCGTATCTTAGCACAAACTGCTGCATCATTCTAATTACTCGTTCAGAATGATGATTGACAACAATTAACATTTTGGCAAAGTTTTCAAAATTCTTAAACGAGGACTGGGTGTGCCAATATTGGGGTAGAAGTGACAACCAGTCTCTCACTCTTTGATTATCCTACCCTATCATTGAAAAAATTAAATATGAAAACTCATTAACCAAAAGAGAGAGGGTTGGTACCTTCATGTTATTTATGATATTAATCTCGTCTATTCGACCTTTGCTTTTATGTTTAAAAAAATCTGGCATTTGGAAGGAAAGCAAAGCATTTGCAATGGCTGTTTTTTTATCTATAGAAATATTTTGCTCCAAAAGAGCCAAAGGAATAATCGTTGAATCAAGATACCATGTATGCTTATTAAGAGATGCTAACACTGCGTCTACTGCCTCCGGATTGGAGCAAACTTTCTTATACTCTTTCATCTGAAAGATTGCATCAAGATTAGACGCAGGAGATTAAATCGCTTTATGTGCTTGAAGGTACCACCTTGTGTAAAAACATATTTTCTTTTGAAATGTGAGGAAGGGGATAAATACTGCATGGTTAGTTCAGCCAACTCTCTTCGGTCATTCCTTATATTGCATTTTTTTGTAATATAGGTCTCACAGTAATTTAAAGTTTGCCTTGCAGCTTCCTTCAAAACTGTTCTTTCCACGGTTTTCCAATCAAGAGAGGTCAGGTTATTTTCATCGTATTTGAATTTAGGGTTCTCAAACATATGTTTGAACTTTATGAATAAGGGATTTTCAGGCCCTACGCTATTCTCTTTTATCGCTGCTTCACAGAAACGAACCATTCTAATCTCAATGATATGATGCCTACATGCTAGTAGAAGAAGGCATTTGTCTACCTCTCTTGCAATCTTAATAAGTGATCCTTTCTTAGAACCAGTATAACTTGAAGTTGTATCAAAGCATACTCCGCATACTTTTGAAATGAGGTCATATTCTTCTAATATTTTCATGATTCCTAAATACATATCTTCACCTGAAAAAGACGGCAAGGCAGGTACTCCAAGAAGATGCGACACCCCCTCAATATTAATGAGCACAGCTAATCTTTCATTCTTCAGTCTTTTTCCCTGATTCATTTTAAAGAAAGTCTTTCTGTCAAAATGAATTATACAGGGATAACGGCTTTTTTCCATGGCCTTCTTTATATCTAATATAGTAATTTCTGCAGTATCCTTGGCAGTTTTTTCATTCCTTAATGCTGTTGAAGCACTGGCTTTGCATTTTGCAATATCAACTCCACATTCTTGAAGAATTGCTCCAGTTACTTTTTGTAAGACATTGGGGGAGATATCATTTGCTGTAGCTATGATAGATACATTTCCATCAAAAATATTCTTAGGGACTTTGGCAGTAATGTTGCAATCATCTGCTCTTCTATATGCCAAACTTCTGGTTCAAATTCTGAATCAGAATTTAAACCAGAATCTAAATCAGAACCCTGAGCGCTAGTGTCAGTGAAACTCAAGTCTAATTCTGAGGTAGCGTCAATCTTCGGAGATTCGTTTTCTAGCCTTGTCCTCTTCCTCACACCTTCAGAAACCTAAAATTTGTTTTAACATAGTGCATGTGTATTAACAAATAATTTATGTTAAGTTAGCAAATTTTAATAAAAAATGTCAAATTAACCCACTAAAAACAACACTAAACCTTTTTGCTAAATTTTCTATCTTCTGATCCCAAACTAAAATGTCTCAGTCCTTCCTGGTCTTCCAAAAATGTTAAATCATCGTGCTTATCTTTATTTGAGTGTTTTTTATCCTTCCTAATTTGGTTCTTTAAATCTGTAGAACCAATCTAAAACAGCTTTTTCAAAAATGAAATAAACTCCCCTAGATTAACCTTGTCTCTAGCTGTTCCTCTGTATTTATTTCTACACAAATCTGAATACTTCTTGTCCATCTTCATAAGGTTGTTGATAATACTTTTATCTGACACTACTTGATATCCCGCTTTAAGCCAGGGTCTTTTAATTAAGCTTAAAATGCATTCACAATCATCTACTTCACATCTCTTGTAACCCTGAATCTTGTTAGGAGGGCATGATAAAATTGCTGACTTCTTAACATTATGAGGAAGTAGTGATCTTCTGTAGGCAATGTGTTGAAGAACATCCATTCCAGTAGAAAGTTGAAGACATTAAGAAAAAAAAAAATCAATATTTTAGTTTTTAACAAAAAATTTAAAACTCAAAACAATTATTTTAAAATTAAATATGTACATGTAATAGCTGGTTTAGCCTCATTTATGATAAAAAGTTTGCTTTTGCTTGATCTGAGAAACTTCCTCTTCCCAATACCTTTTACAATTTTTTTTTATCATTTTTGTATCCAATCTAAATAGATTTAATGGTCTGTAATTAGTTAAAAACGTCAATACAATTTTACTTTATATTGCAATTCGATTAATAACAATCAAAAGTAAATATGAAAATTATTTACAAAAATAAAACAATGTAACGCAATTTCACGTACAATTTCTTTATGAAAACTCTTTGTTACTTAAAAATACAGTGCAAGATGTTCAGCACATTTTCTTCTGCATTATTTTATAAGAATTTTTTTATCGTAGCCGATTTTCATAACCTCTTGCGTATCATAAAATTTTCATTTTTTTCTTTCGTAAATATCATTTTAACCAAGAATATGTAAAAAACATGATGACATACCCATTTAAAATGAAAATATAGATATCAAATAACAAAAAAAAAAAAAAAAAAAAAAAGGAAATAATTTTTTTATTTAAATCCACCTCAAACACCCTAAACACACCCTATATTACCCTTTTTGAAGAACAATTTCATAACAACTTTAGTCTTGAGGGGGATTTAAAAGTCACCAAATTGTTACCAGCTAAAGTTTTAGCATATTTGCTCCAACTTTAGCTGGGTATGTACTTCGTTCTCAAAAACTCCCTCAAAATGACTACCCCTAATATATATATATATATATATATATATATATATATATATATATATATATATATATTATATATATATATATATATATATATATATATATATATATATATATATATATATATATATATATATATATATATATGTATATATATATATATATATATATATATATATATATGTATATATATATATATATATATATGTATATATATATATATATATGCGAATATAAATAAATATATATGTGTGTATATATATATATATATATATATATATATATATATATATATATATATATATATATATATATATATATATATATATGTGCGAATATAAATACATATATATGTGTATATAAATATACATATATATCTACATATATATATATATATATGCGAATATAAATGTATATATATATATGTGTATATAAATATACATATATATCTACATATATATATATATATATATGCGAATATAAATATATATATATATATATGTGTATATAAATATACATATATATCTACATATATATATATATATATATATATATATATATATATATATATATATATATATATATATATTTATGTGTGTATATAAATATACATATATATATATATATATATATATATATATATATATATATATACATATATATATATATATATATATATATATATATATATATATATATATATATATATATATATATATATATATATATATATATATATATATATATATATATATATATATATATATATACAAACGTATAATTAAATAAAAAATTAAACTTCTGTTATGGATGCAACTCTTTTATGAATTAATTTTCATACAATATTTCAAGGGAGTATAGATACCTTCGTTGTCAAGTATATATATATTTATATATATAAAAAACTGTTAAAAACAAAAACAAAACAAAAAAAAACGTGTTTTCTAAAGAGATAAGACCATTGCAAATGAATTGACAATAGCTAGACGAAAGCTTGGCAAATCCATGAGTGGTCAAAAATGTCTTTGGTCCAAGATAAATAAAATGGAAAACAAAGTTTGAAGATGGATTGACTAAGTTTAGATTCTAAGGAGGATTCAATTCCGAACAAAATAATCCAGACCTTAACAATTTATGGTTGTTTGTATATTAAGATGTATAACAAACGAAACTGCTGATGCAGTATGGGAAGTATGGGAAATTTTCCTTGCTACTAATGCTACTAACATGAGCTGTCTCTCTTTTTCCTTGTATTAAAAACTAACATTGATTATCATATTGTGGCTATTTTGTTTGTAAATATGAAACCACAGAAGCTATTGCAGAAGCACGTATGTGTATCAAAAAATGGAATTCTTTAATGCAACCAAAATTCTTTTTCTGACTTTTCATTTACTGACTATCAAAATTCTTTATACTGACCATTCATACCAAGAAATAAATGCACATAAATTTATTTTTCCTAGGTAAATCATTTAATTATTATTGTTTAGTTATACTAAATAAGTTTCTGTATTTTAATTCCAAGAAATTATGCTTTTTATTTATTATATACTTATAGTTTTTTGTGATTGCCATTACATTATTATTTTTATCTTAAGTCATGCTTGCTAAGATAATTTAAGTGTTGTTTTTTAATTTAGGTTGTGAAGTGTTTGCTTGTGATTTTTATTGAGAACAAGCTTGGGAATGATGGCATTCTATAGAATAGTGGATGTAGCATGGTAAATAACAACAATGATACTAAAAGATACTAAAATGGTAAAAAACAACAATGGTACTACAAATGATACTAAAATGGTACTAAAATGGTAAACAATAAGGTAAACAATAAGTAAATGATACTAAAATGTACTAAAATGGTTAACAAATGATACTAAAATGGTAAATAACATCAATGATACTAAATGATTGAACACTAAATGATTGGTGTATTTATTAACAACCTTTTCAAAAGGTTGTTCATAATTATTAAAAACAAAAATTTTTATACTCTTATTTAAATTGATATGAGACAAATGTTGATATTGAAAAATTTTTTAACTTTACAAACAATTTTTTTATATATTGGTTCTACTTTTCTACTTATAATATTAAAGTATTTATAAACTTTTTTTTTTCGATTTCAGAGGTGCTTGATTGCTTAGAGGTTAGAAAGTGAAACCCAAGTATGGAACTGGAAGACAAAGCCTATCATAAATACAGTTTCTTTTGGATTAAAAAAAGAAATCATCACTAAGTATTTTCATAAAAGAATTTCTTCCTTGCAAGTATGAAAAGTTAGGTAATACAGTTACTACTATATCTTTTTTTTATATATATATGATATTGTCATCTATTTCAGACTTCTTGTTTGTCCACAATATAAATTAATAAACGTTTTAGTTATTGTGATAGAAACAGAAGAGCACATTTCTCATATAGAAAATATGAGAATTGTGCTTTTCTAAAATACCATTATGGAATTCCAAAATATTTGATTAATCAGCCTCCATCTTTAGTAAAAGTTTTATAAAATTAATAGACAGGTTACTAGGTGCAGGTTTATATATTGTAATTTATAAGTTTTGAATCTTATAAATTGAAAAGTATTTTAGTTTGTGAAAACTCCAATAGAAAAATTAATGATACCAATAATATCAATGGACAACTCAAGATAGTCAAAAGCAATTTTTTACTAGACAAAAGTTTACAATATATTATACACATATATGAATATATGTGTATAAATTACACACACACACATATATATATATATATATATATATATATATATATATATATATATATATATATATATATATATATATATATATATATATATATATATATATATATATATATATATATATATATATATATATATATATATATATATATATATATATATATATATATATATATATATGTATATATATATATATATATATATATATATATATATATATATATATATATATATATATATATATATATATATATATATATATATATATATATATATATATATATATATATATATATATATATATATATTTATATATGTATATGTATAACCTTAAATTTTTTGTTTTTGACACTATTCATTAAGATCATTTGCAAAACTATATATATATATTTTTAACACTACTCAATTCATTTGCAGTGCCACTTTATTTTGTGATTTGGCTTGGGGCATGGCTGTAAAGCAGAAGAAGAACAAGATTTTAATAATAAAAAATTTCAATGATCTTTAATGAGTGGTTTTTATTTTAGGTTTTGTTGGTATCTAAACTAAATGGTGTCTAAGTATTTAAAAAAAAAGTTTAAAAAACACAATTTTGAATAATCTTTGGTTTGAAATAGGCTTGCAATTAGATTTTTTTTGAAGTCTAGCTTTTATTTTCAATTTTAAAGTCAAATAGAAGAGCTTATTGCAAAAAGTACTTAAGTCACAAAAAAAATGTTTTAAGAAAATCTACTTTGATCAGAGACATTTTCAAATAAATATTTAAAATGGCCAATCAAAGTAGATTTTCCCAAAACATTTTTTCTGTGAATTCAGTATTTTTAGCATTATATATTCTGATATCAAATTTAGACGTACATTGAACGTTCAAATTTGGACGTACATAGTATGTTCAGTTTTGGACGTACATCAATATTTCCAATCTGAACCAAATCTGGACTAAAATTGTACGTTCCGTCCGACGCCTTTTGTACATACAATGAACATACCCGTGCCCATTGGGATATATATATGTATATATATATATATATCCCTTGTGCGTTTATATATATATATATATATATATATATATATATATATATATATATATATATATATATATATATATATATATATATATATATATATATATATATATATATATATATATATATATATATATATATATATATATATATATATATATATATATATATATATATGTATATATATATATATATATATATATATATATATATACATATATATATATATATATATATATATATATATATATATATATATATATATATATATATATATATATATATATATATATATATATATATATATATATATATATATATATATATATATATATATATATATATATATATATATATATATATATATATATGTATATATATATAAACACACAAGTGTATAACTTCCTTGAAGTTAATTTAATATATTTGATTAATAAATTAATTTAGAATATATTTTATAAAGCTGAATTAAATTTGATATTATTTTCTATTTTATTTAGCACCAGTGCTAAATATATTTTGTAGTATTTTGTTACATATCTTTTTAGAAAATTTTTTTTTGAAGTAGTTGTTTTGCGTGACAAACATTTTTCATTGTATTGGTTAAATTATATTAATAGTTAAATATACATTTACATATATATATATATATATATATATATATATATATATATATATATATATATATATATTAGGGATAAGACTTTTTAAAAAAAAAATTTCCCTGGCCCAAAAATGGATGAGTTTTTACGCATAAAATGCAAAAATATTAATACTTTCACGATGTTCAAAAAAAATGTCACGCCCTAAAGCACATTAAGATTTAAAAAGGTTTTAAAAAAATTAATGACCAAAATCATTTCTAATTGCAAACATGTTCATTCATATGATTTTATAAAAAAACATAATTTATTCTAACAATTAATACATGGCATAGTGTTATATTCAATGCAGGAAAAAACATTTTATACAATTTAAATACATACAGTTATTGTTTATTAGACAAAATGAAACGAAGTGGAAGATTGTCTTTACTTCTGCACAATCTATAAAGCTCCTCCATTACTTTAATTGCTCTTTCAGCACATTGATTACTTCTGGGAATGTTGATTGCTGATGGTTCTGGATTCCAATGACTTGTAAATGTAGCAAGAGGTTTCTTTTTGTTTAATAAAACTTCATGAAGGTCTGAATAAGTGTTTTCTTTATAGGTTTGGTCGTCAAACCAAAAGTCTGCCCTCTTGTAAGAAATAAAGGTACATACAGATTCAAGTTTGTTTCTTGTTTTTGACATAAGAATGTAGGCTAACAACGCTAAAATAGCTCTTGAACTCCACCGAGCATTACTGATATTAGGGATTTTTTGAAATCTTACATTAAGAAATATTTTATTTTGGTCATAGTATCGGTAGGTTCTCGTCAGATGAAACAGAAACAGATGTCATCTCGCCATCCTCCTGTGTCTTTTATTTCCTCTGTACCATTATAAAAATTTGTCTTCAGTGTTTCATAATGTTCTAACAACTCGTTAGTAAAAAAGTAATTAATGTTTGGTGAGTTCGGATTTTCTCCCAATTTTTCTTCCATTTCTAGTCTAAGTATTCTATCCAAGATATGATGTTGACATGGTACAAATTGAGGTTTTTGTAATCCTTTTTTTTGAAAAATGTCCTGAAGTTTTACAGCAACACCATTTTTCTTTCCGGTATTGACATTTGTAGTATCTGACACAATCATTTTAATTGAAATCCATAGTTTAAATTCATCTATAATATCAGCTATGGCATTTATAAAAGTGATAGATTTTCCATCTATTAACTTCAGTGCGCCCAACTTTATTTCGCTTCTTTCATTTTTAAGAACGACAACCTGATACTCCCATTGATCTATATGCTTTTCATCGAAGTCCATCGAACTCCAATTCTCATTCTTTAAATCTTGAATTAAAGTTTCTTTAAATTGTTTTGCTTCATTAAAAAGAGCTTTGTATATTCCAGACTGTGATGGCGCTGGAACATGTATGCTTTCTGAGGACAGTATTTTACCTATTTTAGAAGCTTTCTTAGTTGATACCTCAGCAAAAACCACTAACTTTGTTGCTATTTTATAACTACTATAATTTTTACGCCTTTCTTCAAATTATTATATTCTTCATCTGTAATTTCATTATCTATCTCAAATTGTTCATCAGTTTCTTCAAATTCGGAACTAGAGTTGTCTCTTTCTATTTTACTACTTTCAGTAAATGAAGAAAAACTTTTAGATGCTGAAGGTTGCCTGGAAAGTTTTTGCACAATTGATGGATGAATAGTCTTCTTTCCTGCCAGCTTTGAAGTAGCATATCCAATTTCTCCTTTGCTTTGTAACTGAATTTCATAAAATCTTTTATCTTCAGATGATAACTAAATGCCATTTTGATTTGTTATATCAAAAATCTCTTTTTGCAGAAGGTCGGCATTCCCTTTTTTTCTGAGACTTTCATATTTTTCTATAACATCATTAATCTTTCGCTTCACTGACTGCTCTGTCAGACATGGGAAATTTAATTGTTCTTTCCACAAACTTATAACTTCTTCTGAAATAAGATCTATCCTTTGCTTTTTGGCTTTCACATCAGTACTAGACAAATACTTAAACCTGCTAACAATATCACTTTTTAATGGCATTTTGGAATTTTCTTGAAAAGATGTTGAAAAGATGTCTTGGAAACTGTCTACTTTTATGCGAATCTTGAAATTTCACAAGATTTTTATTTTTTTCAACACTTGATTGGCAGTATTTGTATGCCATTTTAATTAAAAGCAGCACAAAAAAATCTGAAACTAATTAATAAACAATTAGGCACAGCAGTAAAAAACTAGAAATTATAAAGTGGTAATGCATACCTCTGGTATGTATTTAAAATTATATATATAATATATATTAACTGTCTATATATATTTTATTATATATAATATAATAATATAATATAATAAAATAAATATAGAGGGTTATGACTTCTTTAACTTATGTTTTCTGGCCCATATGTAATATGTATAGAATATTATATTCCTATCTATATTGTATTTAAAAACATTTCAGCCGAGCGGCGTGACATTTTTTTACACTTAAAGGAAAATAAACATTTCTTCATTGTTTTATAGCAAAAACTCATCCAAAAATAATATAGGGTGGTCCAAATTGTATAAAAAGTTAAAAAAGTCATATCCCTAATATATATATATATATATATATATATATATATATATATATATATATATATATATATATATATATATATATATACATATATATATATATATATATATATATATGTATGTATGTATAAATATATATATATCATATATAAGTCAATAGAAGAAAGTAAAAAATGATTCCTGTTAAGTATTGTTACCTCCAAATTTTCTTTTAATTTCATTCACAATATCTAAACGACCAAAAGCTGTTAACTCTTTTTCTAATTGCTCCAACGAAGGATTTCCATTTCTTTGCTTCCATTTTTTTAAAACATTATCAGCTTTCTCATAACATTTTTTATTATCAGAGTCGATGTTATCAAGATCTGGATCACTTAGACCTAGGTGTCTTCCCCATTGCAACCAATCACTTCCAATATTTTTGCTTATTTCACCACAACATTTTGAAATAAATTTATCAAAAGCCATTTCATTTCTAGACACTAAATATAAGAAATTTAAATTTTCAATGTGTAAAAAAAAAAGTAAATAAATTAGAAAAATGAAAAAAAAAAAAAGAAAAAAAAAGGTGTTTATGGGTATATAAAAATGATTTTATAAGAAATTAAAAAAAAATTGATCTACAGATTGATTTATTAGATAATAAAGTCATGTGGTAATGACATAAAAAGTATGATGCATTAAAAGTGTTAAGATTCAAAATTTTGAAAATAAGATCAATAGCAATGAAAATTTTAGAATGGAAAATTAACAAACTTAATTTTCCATTCTTTAAAAGGTGTTATGTTTTGGTCTTTTAAGCTCCATATTTCCTTAGATAGTTCTGTGTCATTTCTATACTTAACTGATGCAAATGATTTGAGACGGTTTGCATATGTTAATTTGTTACTAATGTCATAATATTTTTTTTTATTACAATTATGATTGAATATATTTTATGTAGCTTGTGGCCAGCTGGAAAATGTAAGTCAATCTGGATACAAATCAAACCTTACCTACTAACTATAATTAATCTCAGATCAAAATCGTCAAAAAAAGCATCATAAAAAAAATATTATTATATTATATGGTATAACCCTCCGTTCAGCTTAAAACGTCAATGCAAAAATAGGAAACCATTTTCTAGCCCTTATTGACTTACATTTTCCAGCTGACCACAAGCTACATAAATAAATAAACTAGCAAACTTAAGGATAAAAACAATGATTATTGATTAACAAAAACAAACATTTCAACAGCTACACATCATCTAAATTAACAACAAACAAAAATGTAACAAACTATAAAAAAGTTTTTTCAACTAAAAGTTTAAACTAAAACCACTTTGGTTTTTATAAATTTTTATAAATTTTTATTTTATCAATTAGAAGATTTATGAATAATATATACACTGGTATATTATTCATGACTATGCATAAACTATTCATGCAAGATTAAATAAATTATGGTAAAAATACTTTTTTGAGTTTTAAGTAGGGAAAAATTACACAACAAAAACATTTTTTTCCAACTTCAATAATTTGCATGCCTGATTAAATAAAAACTAGTATTATCTTTGAATCTGTATGGCTGAGAAACTAAATTCAAATTTAAACGTTTTCAATTAATTATAATCAAGTAAAAAACAATAGAGAAAAACTTTTAGCTTTATTATTAGTGCATAAAAATTGCTACAACTTTTTTCATATCTTCAATTCTAGACTGCAAAAAACCACTATTAGAAGTTACTAGAAAAGAAAAGGTGAAGTTTATAAAAGCAACATAACGATTATTAGATGACTTAAAGGATTGCAAAGTATTTGAATCAGAAAAACAAGATAAAGGGAGCAAACTCCAGAAAACTTATTTTTGAGGAAAAAAACTTGATAATGAGATTTAACTGAATGACGAGTAACACAAGAATAAATTTCAGAAGATGGTACAAGAGCGGCTAGCAGTGCCCATTATAGTATTTATGGAAACAAGAGAGAGAAGCAAAAATAGTTTACAGTTGGCTGCAAGAGCATTGTAAACATATTTTACAAAATGCATTGTAAACTGTGTTTACAATGCACTTGAGCACCTTGTCTAAATAAGAAAGGACAAGTTGAAGAGTAGATGACTCATCGAGCATCATTCATAAATATTGGAAGATCTAGATGGTTGCAAAAAAATTAGCTTGAAAAAGTTTATCTGAGTTAAAGTTCCCAAAAATGGGCCACTGAGAGCCCAAATCTGTAACAGAAATGACAATTTTTTTAAGCTTAAATGCCCACTCTAAGCAATCAGAGGGTGTTGACTTCTTATTCAGAAGAGAATAAATGGTAGTATCATCAGATTTTTAATGAAAATTAAAAAAAGTATAGGGCCAAGAAAAGAACTTTGAGCAAACCCTTGAGTTACAGGAAATAAAAAAGAGTTCTATCCATCAAGGACAACTAAGATTACTACATACTAAGATAGGAAAAGATTTAATAATCTTAAAGATGTTACCTGATACACCATAACAAAATATAATTATTCATTATAAAAATACTATTTTAGATAGATCAATACAAACAATTTGTCAATATATAATTATAAACCACAAAACAATAATAAAAACAAAGTTATTAAAAGCTATGCACTTTAAATAATAATTATTTAAAAACAAATTTCAGAAATAAATAATATATATATATATATATATATATATATATATATATATATATATATATATATATATATATATATATATATATATATATATATATATATATATATATATATATATATATATATATTTACTGAAAAATATTGAATATAAATTACTATTAGAATAACAATTAAAAACAAAACAAACTTTTATACTTATCCATAATAATATATTTAATATAAATACTTGACATAAAAAAAATAAAACTGTAATAAAATTTTACATTTCAGAACATTTTATACTTTACTGTACTAATAGCTATATTCCCATTTAGAAAAAGTAATAGAAAAAAAAAGGACTTCTGTTGGAAGTAGTCGTTTTTGAAAAAATAAAAGATTACGCTTTTTAATTTAATTCTTAAATATATTTACATTTGAAAAGTTTATAGCTATTAAAGTTTATATAAATTTTATCAGAACAACGTATTTTTTTGGCAATTAAGATCAACAGTGATTAAAAAACTGCCAAAAAAAAGACATTGTTCTGATAATCATGATTATATATATATATATATATATATATATATATATATATATATATATATATATATATATATATATATATATATATATATATATATATATATATATATATATATACATATATACATATATATATATATATATATATATATATATATATATATATATATATATATATATATATATATATATATATATATATATATATATATATATATATATATATATATATACATACATACATATATACATATATACATATATATATATATATATATATGTACACTTGTTAAACCAAACGAGACTGATAGAACCAAACTAAACCCTCAGTCGATGTAGCAGCACTCCCTTGCGATTCAGACTATAAGATAGTCGACTATCTTATTGCAGGCGATAAGATAGTCAAATGTAGCAACACTCGCTCGTGTTTTAAAAATGTGTTTTAATGAAACAAAAACAAAAAAAACACTAATTTAAAAAAATTTCTACTCATTATTATTGCAGTTTTTTTAAAAAACAATAAAACTTAATGTACTTTTGCAATAACTTAATTGCTTTGACATTTCGACGACAATAAAATGTTGCTAAATTGTCAAGGTAGCAAAATTGTAGTCAAAAAAGACTTTTTTACATTAAAAGTTTCTTTCAACTACACTATAAGGACATTTATATATAAATATATATATATATATATATATATATATATATATATATATATATATATATATATATATATATATATATATATATATATATATATATATATCAGGCCTTGCGATACAGAACAGCTGCTGAAAAATAGAACGTCAATAGTTTTTAGAATAATTTTCAATAATAATTTTTAAGAATAATTTTTTTGCTGAAATATTTCTTTTATACCTAAAAGATTTTTATTCTAACATTTTATTTTATTTTACCAAAAATAAAATTCCTTGTAAACATAAAAAATCTATTCAAAATGCTCGTTAAAGTTTTTTAATAATACGAGTGATTGTGCTTATCAACCGCTTTATGAAAATAAATAAAAATAAATAAATAAAAAAATATTATATAAAATCGCTAGTAAAAATATTAGCTATTGCACAGTTTTTAATCGTACAATATTAAAATTTCCAATTTATTACTCTCTGACTTTTCAAAAAGAAAAATTAATTATTTGAAAAACTTTTGTTTTTTATTCGTTTAGCATAGACAAAACGCGCCAAACCTTGAGAAAATAAACAAATATTTTTACATTTTAAAAAACGAAACATTGCAAAACATTTTTAAATAATAACATTTCTACATTAATGATTTAAAGTAGTTTTGCGGTAATTAAGTAAATTGGTGCAGTTAATGTCAATAAATATGAAAAGCAAATATAAAGAATTTAATGACGTCAAAATTCAATTCGTGCTTATGCGTTGCTTAGTTTTTATTTATCACAAGGCCTGATATATATATATATATATATATATATATATATATATATATATATAAATATATATATATATATATATATATATATATATATATATATATATATATATATATATATATATATATATATATATATATATATATATATATATATATATATATATATGTTATACATATAATTAAGTAAAAACTTGGCTAAATTTCAGGCGCTACTCAACTTTCAACCGCCTCCCTCCCCTCCCTGTTTTAATGATTGATTATTACAGAATACATTATACTGAATCTAAATCATATAAAAACATAGGCACTAAAACTTGGGGAAAGTATTCTAATTTGATGTTAAGTATATCAATCCACATTAAAAACGCTAATATTTACCATTCATTATCGTAACTGAGTATGACTTTCACCTTAGTCATACTTAGTTACGATAAAAAGTTTTTTCAAAAACATTTAAAAAAAGGCCTGGTTTCTATAGACACTTCAATGCAAAGAGCATTTTTTATTGATTTCTGACCCATACCAAACCCAAACCCAAATCATGTACATTTAATTGTGCCAATCTTTATTTGTCAGTCAACTGTTTTTAATAATTAGGAAATTAATTTTTAAACTACGCGACCCGGTTTTTATTATCGCATTCACATTTTAAGATATACATACATCGACCGACAAATAGGGATTGGCACAATTAAATGTACATGCATTAACTGAAAATTAGGGATTGGCACAATTGAATGTACATGTGTTGAAATGTTTTTAAAAAGATGGTAGAGTATTAGCATTTTTAATGTGGATTTTTTATACTTTAACATCAATTTAGTGTAAATTTAGAGAAATTGGGAATTTGTCAAAATCTTGCTCCCCCTCCTCTCCTCTAAAAATGTGTTCCGGAATGCGTGCGGTC